AACAGACCTGAAAATATTCAAAAGAATCTGCAACCATAATCATTTATGCACTGAAGTTTTGCAAGTTAGACTGAAACCAAAATATGCACCTTCAAACAATACACAGCAAGACGCCTCCTAGTCTCAGCATTCCCATTCTGAAGATCTGATATTATTGAATGGTGGACATCCTCCTTCTGTACATCAGCCATGCCAATGTAAAACTTGAGTTTCAATTTCAGATAAGAGTGACAAACAAAAGGAAACAACGAATGTTTAAAGGTAAATACATGTGCAGAAGAATCCGTGGAAATGAATCTTAATCCCTAGAAACAACTAGCAGAATCTAACTGCATATCTTGACTATCAAGACATAATTATCAAAGCAGGTACATAATCTTAAAAGAGAAATTCTGACCTGTTCAGAAAGAAAGTGTGCTGAAACTGAATTCAGTGAATAAGAACTTAGTTTGTAGTCACGCTGCATAACCTACAATGAAAGAAACACAGCAAATTAATCTCTCAATATAAATCATCTAAACTCTCAGATAAAAAATACAAACTCATGAAGTAGAAGAACGGCATGCGGAAAACCTGAAGCAAATCAAACTGAACTCTCCCTTCCACAGTAACTTCTTTGCTCTCCCGAGTTCCATACTGTCTGTAAAACAAACCAGCATCAATAACCGGAAACAGACTTGGAAAGTAACTCTTACACCAGAAACTGGAAGAAAACCCACAATAGTTATGTTATGCTATGAGTGGAAAAAGTATTGAATCATAATAATAATGAACTCAATTAAAAAGCCTTAGTAGCAGCTAAGTAAATTACAGATACCATAGTTTATTTTTCATAATCTCACTCTGAAATCGTGACAGTGAATTTCAATAAGGATATCGATTGAAGAAGCTAAAAGAAAATGAATAGAAGATTCGTTCACATTAAGCTCCTCATATGACCTTTCAGGTTATAGCCTTATAGGAAAGACAGCCTGAGAGGACAAGACTTTAAACACTGCTGAGACAACACAAGTAGCTAGCTTGGCCATTGGAAGTATGGGGTAACAAAAATGCCAATTTGAAAGGGAAAAAAATGAGTATTTTCAAAAGAAAACAAAAGAGAAGGGAGAAAGAGTGGATTTGCAAAAATGCCTTTCATGTTTTCTATTTTTAAGAAGATTCTGAGTATTCTTAGCAACTGCAGTGTGAGATAACAAGCTAGGGCCAAAGTTTTAACAAGAAATTAAGTTCAAGAACAGAAAAAATTATGACAATAACAAACGTGACAAATCCTTTACCTTGAAGAAAACGTTGTATCTTTTACACGAACCCTACTATTCCTGATGCGGCCAAGTATAGGAAATTCTGCTATTCCCAACATTTGTGCTCTCTATTAACCAGAAAATAAAATCTTAGATGGTTCAATCATGCAACAGTCTTTAGCACATAAAGTTTGCACATCCAACTGCTATACAAGTAAAGGGAAACCCAAAATAATGAACCAAATAGAAAGCTTTGCTACAGTAACATTCAGGGAGAATAAAGCAGAAGTTCAGTGTTTCTATTACCTCAATAAGATATGGTAAATCAAACTTGCAAATGTTGTATCCAATTATAATATCAGGGTCTACTTCACGAATAAATTCCTGCAAGCAAAACCTGCTTATTAAACAATGAGCTGTGTAAACAAATGAAGATCTCTTTCCATGTGAGATTGACTACATTCTTCAACGTAAAAGGAAATTAATCATATGATTTGCTTAAGAGCCATTGAGACTTAAGAATGTAGGTAGTTGGACATAAACTTAGGTTATTCACAATGACTTGATGATGTCAATAGTGCACTTAGGATAATGGCAGAAAAGACAGCTTTATATTTGGCTTGAGAAAGCATGTGTTTTCTAATTCTTCCATTCCCTGTAGTTTCTCAGTTCAATGCAAATGAGGAAGTTGCTTTATGAATCTCTTAACAGGTATACAGTGTCCTGAACAACTTCCATAAGAAAAAAGAATCAATTATTTGACGAATTTAGTAAGACGCACAAACTGACACCCTGTGTTTATGCATGCCTTTGTAATAAATAGTAAAATAAACAGAAATGTTTTAAAGACAAAATTAGTACCCTCCAAGCAAGCAAGACTTCTTTTTCTGTATCAAAAGACATGACATCAACACCAACTATTGGGGAGCATGACTTAAGGGTCATGACATTTTGGATGAATGGTTGATCTTCTCCTTGCAAAGTAACTAGATTTGCCACCTAGAAGGAAACAAAAATTTTCTTCAGAAGTAGTGAAAGAAAATGACCAATTAGGTTTTAATCAATTCCTCATCCAACATGAAATCAGGACTCCCAAGAACAAACAAAATAGTTCCGCCCAAAACAGATTGGTGACTTGAATAGAGGCACAAGACCTGGATAACAGGATCATGAGTAGGCTCGGGAAAATGACCTTTGCGACCAGCACACTCGATGTCAAAACTCAATATGCGAAATGGTGCCATCTTTGAGAACTCCCCCTCTGGGGCATGACTAATCAACTCCGAATACCTTAGAACATTAACAGGGAAGGGAATTAAACCCGGAGGATATGGAACCAATAACAAAGCAGATCGTTGAAATCCTCTTAAATAGACAAAAGAAGAGGTTACAAGCAATCAAACTCCAACTGGCAGTAGGACAAGTTCTTTACGGTCTTCTTATATTTGCCAGCCGATATTTCAATCCAATTACCACCAACGATGTTGCAATCAATCATGAAACGAAGTGCAAAAAGAACATTGCTCTCATATGTCATGAAGCTCTTCATACCAAGGCCATCAATTTGTATACCTCTATCAAGAATGCCTGCAAGTCATGGATGATTAACAAGCCTCCGGATATAAAAAGAAGCATGCAGGTTTCTAGAATTATGTGCATGATTAAGAGTTCATGTCAAAAAAATTAAACTAAAAACAGAAAAACCTTTCAACTACACTAAATGCATTTCCTGCAGTGAATGCAACTCAAATGAATTATAGATCATACAAAAGCATCAGGAATTTTACCGCGACAACTAGTAACCATCGTTGGCAATGCCACAACAATCTTGAGAAATGGTTGAGACTTTTGTTGCTGGTAATACATAATGCTCCTTTTCTGAACCAATTCAACTCGTCGAACAAACTTTGGTACCTTACTATTTCTGTTCAACTCCTTCATCCTCCCCTGAAACAATGTAATTAAAACCATTAAGAAGCAACTCAATAAGAGCAATTTTATAGCCTAAGGAAGCGGTAAAAACAAACACCTCAAGGGTTTGTTGAAAACGGGATATATCATCAGGACCCATTCCCGGAGGGCAGCTAATGTAGAAATAAGGCTCAAATCCATGAACAAGACAACAAACACTGTGCCCTACAAATTGTCAATATAAGCAATTCATCAGATTGACATAATATGTACATTTTGGGATTTTTATCTTCAAAGATGGTATTTTAAAACCGCAATGATGTTTTTTTTTTTTCAGCAACCAAATGTGGCAATGCTTAACTACTAAAAAAAATTCAAATCAAGTAAAAAAAAGTTGACATAATTTATTAATTTTCTTAAGCATTCTTAGCAGCCAAACATCTCTTAACTATGACAGATTTCAGGAAAAAAGTACCTTCTCTTGTAACCCCAAAAATTCGGATAATGGCAGCGGGACCAGAAGAATCAGGCAGCAAATCTTTGTTACTCTCTCCAATCACATAATCAATCTCCAATTGCTGGAAAACTAAAACCCCACAAAACAAAAATAAAAAAGAAAAGCTCAAAATTTTTCCACAACAACCATAAAAATCAAGTATTTACTTCAAAAGGTTTGATTTTTAACTTACGGATGCTACAAGACTGGGAAATGTAGGCATTAGAGAGAGGAGGGCGGGCCCATTTGGAAAGACGAGAAGCTAGAGCTTGACGTTCCTCAACGTCCCGGAGGATTAAGGATTCAACGTCTTCTTCCCCCATGAGGGTTTCGTCAAGGAAGACATCTTCATCGACGAAATCTTCTTCCGTCGGCGGTGGGGGAGGCGCTGGCGATGTCGCTTGGTGCTTCGTTGCCGGAGATGGTTGGTGTTGCGACGGCGGCGGTGGTCGCTTCCTTGAGTTGCCGCCGTTGTTCATGATTCGGTGTCGTTTTGAATACACAGAGAGAGAGGGAGGGAGGGAGGGGAGAGAGAGAGAGAGAGAGAGAGAGAGAGAGAGAGGGGGGCGGGGGGGGGGGAATGGAGAGATTATGTGGGGTTGGAGCGTTGAGGAGAGTGAAATTCCCGCCAGTTTTGGGGTCTTATATGGGGAAGGTAATGTCACGTGCCTTGCACGTGGACTGTAATAACAGAATTTAGTGATTAATTTACTCTTTGTAATAAAGCCACGTTTGCCAAGGAAAAGTGTGACAAAAGATAATTAATAATCAAATCACATAACAGCTCCTTCAAGTTCGAAGAATTAATTCTTAATCATCTAAATAATCAATATTTTACGCGAAGAAAAACTTAAGGCATGTTTGGTAGGAGGGAAAAGTGCAAAGAAAGATAATCTGACTCTGCAGCTAACAGCCTTTCAGTGTCAGGATCAATGTTTTTCCTGATTGAACAATCGGGACTGGCAGTGTTGTTCCAATAGTAAATGAACATCAATTGTAGGAAGATCAGAATTCAGAACAACATCACTACATTTTCTGTTCCTGAACAAGAAGGATGTGTTCCCACTTCCCAGGTTGGTAAGATGGATACATTATGCACTTTGGCATGGTGTTCAACAGCTAAAATTCATGCATATCAGAGAAGTTACATTCCAATGAGCTGCTTAGTACTAGCTGTTTATTTACTTGCGAGACCTTGGTGATGTTGGAACTGAAATTCAGAAATGATTTTATCCTGGAAGACCCTCCTACAGTTTGTCTGCCAAATCTCTAAGTTCATCTTCATCACATTGAAGTTTCAGACAACAGATTGGTTCAAAGGCTCTTTTCTAGGTGCTGCATGCTTGAGGAGCTGGTTGTACAATGTCATGGATAGATTGCAGGGGAAAGAACACCAATGAATGAAAGATAGTCTGAAGTGTTCTATAAGTTTTTGCTGAAGCACAGAAGAATAATGCCAGTTATGCAAGTTATACATCTATTTGAAGTAAAGCTCAACTAGCTTCTTCAAAGTGTCGAATACACTTGTAAAAGGGTTCAATTCAACAGGAGCCTTTAGTTCTAGATCAGGGAACTGGTTTGTTAGAGCCTGTTGCATCCCAGACATGGACATCATAGCAGCTAGCTGACTGTCGGACATCACTTGGCAGTCTTGTGGGGTGTCCTTGATTTTGCTTGGGTCATATCCGAAATTCGCCAAGTATGCTTTATACTTCTCTATGAACTCAGGTCCCGGATCAGGTGTCCTTGAGTAGATCTGAAATAAATGATGTCAGTACTTATAATTTATGTATCCGAAACATTAAGCTGAGAAACCCACATCAACTGGTATATTACTACTAAGAATTTGAGCTGTGGTTGCAGCAAACAGCACAAGAAATCAGTTGAAAATCAGTACTAATAATAACAAGCTGCTTGTTAAAAGCATATAAGAAATGCCTAATTGCAGAAAAGGCGTGAAATACGGTTTGATTAATAAAATCATATCTATTTGCAGTCCCTTCCCCAATTTGTATTATTGAACAACCTGAGTAACTACCTGGAATAAAGTAATATAATTCTTATCCAAACTCTGAAGCATGTGCACCTACCAAGAAGATTAATATATGTATCGCTGAAGCAACAATTTACAGTAATATCTTAATGATTTGTATTGAAAATTCAATGTAAACTACTATATATATGTCATCCAGTTACCTGGATGAAACTTCTGTCTTTTGCTCCAGAAACAAGGGAAAAATTGTCATAGTCAGTAGCAATCACATCATAAGGTTCTTTGGGAATAAAAGGCAACGTAGGAAAACGAAGGAAACACTTCTCCTTAATCATCTCTTGCATTTCTAAGTCTGTTTCATTCTTCACTAAATCTTCATCTGGAAGGCATTGAACCTTCCCTCTTATACCAGTAATATATCCATCAGGCCCTCCATGAACGCAAAATGTATCAACTTGGATAGCAGGTGCTTTCATGTCGAAAGTATAAACACCCTGCAAGTCGATTGATTACAAAATAGTTTTAGCAATCAGATGTTTGGGAGTCACAAAAGTTTTGAGAAGATGAATCTACGGTAATGAAAGATTATATAAGCAACCAGTAAAGGGTTCCAATTTTGACAAAAATTAGGTTTTTGCATACTCCAACTGCACATGGTAACATATTACATGGATGAACGATGACTGAAATAGTTCAAGCTTGTGTCAATCAAAACAATAGGTGGTAAATTACAATTTTTTTGAATGCTTTGAGCCAAATTCTATAGGTGTCATGTAACGGCAAGAGAAATGAAGTTCTTTCTGATGGTAAAGAGTGACCCTAAAAGAAGAGTGTCTTCACTTCAAATTAGTACTGTATCTACCTTTAGACATTTACCTGAGTGCAATGGCAGTCTTCTTGACCCTGTCCAGCAAATCCACGTTTGAGTGATGCTACTTCAAACCATCTTCCAGAATATCTAACAGGATCAAAATCCTTTGCTGTCATACCTCTCATCATCATCAGCTTCCCATTTCTTTCGCCAGAATCTTCTTCAAGTGGAAGAGTTGGGTTATTATCCATGGCACTTGCAAGCTGGCAGATGTTGTGGTGATGAGGTAAAGCAGCCGCAAGAACCTGCCAATGAAAGGTGATTACAAAATAAAGAAGTCTTTACTGCATTCCTAAGCTCTTGCATCCTTTGGCAATAAACACTAACTCTATCAGGTAAAATGAAGTTTCAATGAGATTCTTATGAGCTTTTCCTGCAAATTCAACACAACTCAAACCCACAAACTTTAAGATCCAGCAAAAAGAGAGAACTGCAATACATTTCCACAAAAGGGTAGCTAGAGAGAATGAACCAACTAACTGTTCCATAATGATCATGATCTAAAAATTGGAACATACAAGATTTGAACACCTATTTAACAACTTTGGAGCTTGGAATTGGGAAATGATTTCAGTAAATATTGAAATTTCCAATAGTCTGGATAGTGTTGCCATGTTGGGACTTGGGATGACTTTGACTAGAGAAGCTTATAAACTGATCCCTGACAGGATATGAATGATTAGAGAAACCCTTTTGTATAATTTAATGCCTGTCATTCATCAAATAGTGAAGGGACCTTAGCTTTTCTCTCAAGTTGTTAAGTATGTTTCAGACTTAATATTCACTGCACTAGAATTAGAAGAAAGACAACCAGCCTACCTGGTTTGTTTGAGAGAGAAATATCAATGAGGCTGCAAGGCCGGAAACAATATGACTTGAGACAACTTTACTTGAGGGAGGGCTCTTGAGAGAGCATTTTAATATCAGCTTTCCAGGCAGTCCCCTTGTGATAGCAAAATGGTGAAATGTTAAAACAGGTGTTACATATAAGACATTAGAAAAAACATGAATGACGCAGAGGCACCTTCAAAATCTAAGTTCTTTACAGCTTAAAACATTTTAATGAATCCAAACGAAGAAGTACCTCTGCTGAAACTGACTTATAAAGGCTGAAACCAGTAATTCCTTTTCCAGCATAAAAACCAATACCAAAATTCATTTCCTACTAAACCATAATTGGCAACCATAATTTCCTCATAATTAGTGACAACAAGTCAAGTATAACAAGCAGGATTCTCACCAATTCTACACCCTATTCCAAGCTACCATTTCTCTTTTCTTGATTCCTCAATGTCCAGAAAAGCTCAACCAAAACCCCATAATTAAAATGAATAAATCCCAGAAAAGAAAAATAAATAGATTACATAAAAAAAAGGTGAATCTTGCTCATGGGCAGCAGCAAAAAGAACAATTCCATATAAAAAAAACCCCATCAATTAGGAGACCTGGAGAAGTTAGTGATACCTGGGGATTTGAGGAGAAGGAGAAGAGTAAGACGATGAACAACATTGAAAGAGAAGCAGTGGTGAAGTTTGATGATGAAGAATTGCATTATTCACCATTTTCCTCAACCTTTCTCTCTCTTTCTGTCTCTGTAAAGTTCTTTCTTGAACTCTCTTTAATGTGCTATCACAGCTTTTTAGCTGCCAACAAATCTTTGAGTTCTCAATTCACTGTTGGAAACTTTTCTGAAAATATCTATGAAACGAGGACGTTTAGGTTCGGACAAGGCATGGTGTTCTAGCAGTTTACAGTTAAATAACAGTTAACCACTTAACCTGATGAAATCAAACAAAGTAAAAACAAAAGGGTTTTTTTCATTTGGGGTCAGCCCATCGTTATCAGTTTGTACAGATGGAGGTCCCATGATAAACACTAAACCATACAAACTTTTGTTAGGATTGGCAATTCCTTTTCCAATATTGATCAGTAAAATTGGTACCGATGCTGAAAATTGGTGTTGCCGCATGCTTTGGGTACTTGTTTTTAACAAGAAGAGCCAATTCTGGGGAAAGAAAATGTAGCTTTTAGCTATCCTGCAAAGCCTACTGATAGCTTTCCTAGTTGATCCAATCTTCCAATATGAAGACTCTGCATGATGAGGTCCCATGACAGACACTAAACCATAAAATTTTGGGTTTTTAATGACGATTATATTTAGAAGTGATATATACAAGCTTAATGACTGCAAGGTGAAAATGCCACGTCATTCTTAAAATAAATTTACCAACAGCAAAGATTAAGCCACGTCATCACCTTCCAAAGAAGAAACCCACACTCCTATAAAATATCAATCCTTTACTCTTGCTTCTTCCTTTTGCCTCTCTCTACCCTAACTCGGCCGACATACTTTTAAAGCCAAGACCCCGACAACCCGACCCGATAAATATTCGGCTCCCAAAGCTGCTGCATACTCAGGTTTGAGCTTCCCTCTGTTAAAGTGTTTGGCTTTTTGTGCATTTTGTAATGATTTTTTTTTCTTGTTAGTGGTAAAATTAATATGTAAATTTATGAGTTTTAGCTGTTAATCTGATGAAAGTTATCATTTTTAGATTTGGGTTTGTTGAAATGAGTGATTTATGTATCTGGGTTAATGTTGAAATGACCAGGTGCCGTTTCCTTTTTGTTTAAAATTTTAAAATACCGATTTTAAGATATAGTACTAAGTTTTATCTATGATAATGTTCCTTCCTTGTTGTTTACTTTTCATTTTAGTGATCAAAACATTGTTCCAAGCTGTAAATAGTCTATTCAAAACTTTACGACTTTAATCAAGTGAGGAACCTCTGTTGACTGTACTTAGTTTGAGGCCCAAAAATTGGTTAAAAGTGTATGTAAAAGATATCTCTTGAGTTACATTCAGATCATAGAAAGAATCATAGAGTTAATGTAGTAGGAGAGTTAAGTATGTTTCTTGTGTTAAAAAAAAATTTATGTTGTTGCAGAAAATATACCGAAACCGTTTCTGCTTTCTATTGTCTAGGGTCGTGGGCCCCATTTCCTAATTCATATCTGATTTGGTTCTATACATCAATTTGTGTTTAATGTAACAGAGAGTATGGCGTTGGAACTTATGGATAACTAAGGCTTAGTAGTGGACTGAAATCTTGTGAGGTTTTGAGGAGTCATGATGTATTTGCCCCCGTGTTTCTTATCAATGAATTTATGTAGGTGGAGCTTTTGTTCTTATTTGTTGAAATACAGAATTGATGAAGATACTATGCGTGGGGTTTTATTCCTGTATTTTTGTTATATATCTTATCTACTTTTTTCCCATGCATAAATCTGTTTTCAGGAACTTATGTCCTCCATCTTCCCTTGTGCAGAAAATTGTCATCCTGTCTTGCTGATCAAATTTACTGCTTTTGAAGCTTCAAAATGTCAACTGGCCCTGGGCTTGAGTCTCTTGTGGATCGTATGCATACTTGATAACCTCTTTCTTTCTTGTAATGTGTAGGCATAGCCTTTAGAGGCAAATGAAAATTGGGGCTGAATAGGCATCAACTTCTAAGCCTTTTTCTTGCTTTTCTTATTTTCTTGATCAGCAGCTTTTGTCAAAGTTAATATAGCATAGGCATCATTTGTCCTCTCTCTCTGAACCATTTCCTTCATGTGCAGAGACAATCTCAGTTATTACAAATGATGGACGCAACATAGTGGTATGTTAAAGAATTCCTGCTATATGTTTCTTTAGCTTTTGTAGAATTTTAGTTGCCTAATTCTTAACTATTTCAGTTAATTGAGAGCCTAGTCTTCATAATTACTCTTGTTTTCTTCTCCCAAATATACAGGGAATTTTAAAAGGCTTTGACCAGGCCACAAACATCATTCTTGATGAATCTCATGAGCGTGTGTACTCCACTAAGGTTCGTGTCCTTATTTAACTACATTCCAATTTATTATATATATCCTTTAATCCATACGCACCTACTCAATTCTAGAAGCAAAAGGTTTATATTTATCATAATACTTTGAAGAGCATTAATATATTAACTAGGAACTAATTTTGTTATCTTTATTTGATGCTTTTTCCTGTTTTCTTCTTATTCTTCATCCCTAAATATTATATTATTAAAGCCCTTGCTATAGTTTTTTTCCTTTTTTTATTAATTCTAGGTTGAAATTCGCAGGAAGGTGTTCAACAACTTGTGTTGGGTTTGTACATAATAAGAGGTGACAACATGTATGTCACTTTTCTACCTTTTCTATTCATTGTTTTCCATTTGCAGTTGTTTACTTAGGTGACTTCCTCTATATGCTTTGCTATTAGCTGTTCAATGACTTTTATCCTTTAATTGTTGCAGAAGTGTTGTTGGTGAACTAGATGAAGAGCTTGATTCTGCTCTTGACTTGTCAAACCTGAGAGCACATCCTCTGAAGCCTGTTATCCATTGATTGAAATATGGAAAGTTGTAGAGTTGCTATGGACAGCATGTTGGATTAAATACCTGATAAAACATGGCAAAGAACATAAATATAAATTCGAGAAACCTAATGTGTAGTAATTTTCCAATGCATTTCTATGTCATTTTGGTAGTTGTTTTCATCCTCCATTCTTATTTTGGTCATGCTCTATGTTTCATAACTCTGTGTGCGTGGCATGCTGTCTATCTGCATGTGCATATCCTAAGATAATGTTAGATGAAAAGCGCAAAGCTTCTGATCAAACAGCTACTAGAGTGAAACTTAAGAGAGTGTGAAAAAATCAGTATGCGGGAAGTCAAATACTATTTTCATTCGGTGAAGAAAAATAGCTTTAAATATTTGTCATACAGAGTGGTACTTGTATGCAGTTATGAGCAGCAAAATGTCAAGGTAGTTTGAAGGTCCTGGTTGAGGCTGGAGAGACAAAAACGTTTGAATTTGGAGGCATGTACCATTGAAGGACCCAAGAAGTTTTGAAGTTTTATTCACTGCAGTAGTGAACCCAGTATGATTCACAAAAGAAAAGGGAAAAATAAAAGCAAACCTCAATTCAACAGGTGTTGCAAATTCAACTGAAAATAAGTAGATTTTCTCATTAGCAAAACTTCAATGTTATATGTACAATTGAAATATCCTCTTCGAAGACCAAAATTGTGATAACAAGAGAGACTTCAGCTATTCCTAGTGAGGTGGGGTTTGGGATATCATTTCCTTGACTCTTCTATTCTTTTGGCCACATCTGATACTAGACATGAAACAAATCGAAAGAATGGCTTGTTGAATTGATCAAATCATCCAAAGAGACCATCTTTGTAGTTTCCACAAGGGAGCAAACTACAAAATGCATCTGTCTTGTCACCTTCACTCTTTCCAGTTTCTTTTGAAGGAAGACCAGTTCGATTCATTGTTGATGCTGCAGCCTTTGAAGGATGACCAATGGGATTTGCAGTTGAAGATACTGGTCTTTTTACAGACACAAATGCCACTTTCCTATTACCGGGCATAACTTTTAAACTACCGAAGCTTGCAGAAGTGCCAGTGTCTGCAAGCAAGCGATCTTGAGATGGGATTTTGCTAGGGCATTCTGTAATAACAGTGGTATCTACTTTTTCAGCAGTTTTTTCAACCTGCCTCCTGTCCTCACCCTCAGTCGAGGTGTCTGTCAACAGGTTGGTCATAGAGTCTTTCATGTGAGTTAATCTTTCTGTATCAGCCTTCTCAGTAGTTGGTTCATCATCTACAATAGACATTTCATGGAACATATCAACTTACTGTCAAAATTAGATTCATAGCGCCAAAATCTCATCAGCTTCAAACTGGGGTTTAAGACAGCTATATTCCAATGGATCAGATGACTATGTTAATCCAATTAATGAGTCCTAGCAAGGAGTCTTTCTACTCAGAGAATCCATGATAAAGACTATAATAGTCAAACATTCCTAGAAGTTCAATGTAGGTACTAACAGTAGAGGGACTACATATGCCAAAATTGTTTTAAATGCTGGGGTTCCTAGCTGCGCTCAATCCTAAATGGAAATTGGCAACTTTCGTAGTCTAGAATGCATAGCAGATAAAGAACTACACAGTAAAAAGGCAATTGGGGAAAAAGGAGGTGCAACTTGAAAGAGGGAAGATGTTGAATACAAGAAGAAAAAGAATGCAAAACTAGAAATTACGATGAATGTTTTTACCTCCAAGAAAAGAGTCGATACTCTGGTACCGCACGGCATTATTTGCTACTGAAACTTCTCCACCATTGTCCCCTCCTGGCATTTCAATCTCACATTTATTCATCCTCTCAACCAATACAAATTTATCAGTGTTCCAGACACACTGTAAGGTGACATAGTCCTCCTTTTTTGGATAAAACTCTCTATACACCTGCATCATTGTGAAGTAAAAAGGCTTATGAAGCTGCTCTAAGCAACAAGATTTTAGAAGAAGAAGGGGTTCTGGACTGTAAGAATCTGTCTAGTAATGGATCAACCTCAATTCCTTCATGAGTTATTTTTACAGAGTGCTTCTTTTGGGAGAGAGAAGAGACAGTGTTGAACACTGGGACAATATCAAGTAATATCTGCAAAAGGAAAAAAAAGGCTAGATTTCATGCTACTTAGGACAGGCCCATTAACAATGTAAACTGGATTAATGCAACCATGTGATAACCCAGCTGGGCTGTAACTGCTTCTACAAAATTCAACTATTAATTGGAAGTCTTAAACTTACCTGTTGAACCAAAACTCGAAGGCGTGCAAGCAGAGCTAAAACAGTCAACGAAAATCCCATGAAAAATGAGCGAGCTAGCAAAGTAGATACCTCACTATAGCCAGTCAAGGTTGCAAAAGATTCTTTGATGCTTTTAGCATGTGTTAAGCATTTTAAGGATTTGCCTATATATGTGTCACTAAGCCTAATTCATTAACAAAAGGAAAACGTAAAAATTAAGTTTCAATCTCTATTGTAAATTTTCCAAATGCTTATGTAATACCCAATTTAACAATAGAACATGAAAAAGGATACGTTGCTGCCCTCAACATTGTCTCAACAATCTGCAATAAAAACAGAGCACTCATCCACATAAATACATAATTAATTGGAGATTATATTCCTAAAATAGTTGCACCAGGCTCAATTGCCTCTAGGATAAGGCATTGCTCACATGCAAAGATACACAAAAGCATGCTAATAAAAGTGATCACAGAAGTAAAGCAATACAACACTGAACCAGATGAAATGCACAACCTGAAGAAGATCACTTCAGCAAAGGGGACTGATAATAGAAAATTTGAGTTTTTATAAGATACAATATTATGTCAACTACTTCTTACCTTTACATTACAAACATTAAACAAGGGAAACAATATAACAAGATTCTAAACATAAAAAAAAAAGGTAAGAGTGAAGGCATCAACATAAAACTTTTCGGATTAAAGGCAAAGTCTGGCATGAAAATTCAGATTTATTACTGGAGGTCAGAGAGACATACAACCTTCCTAAATGAAACTAACATAGATCAGAAGATAATAATTTGCAGGAAATTGGTAGTAGTCACAAGAAAGGAAGATGAAGAAAAAGAGAACTAAACACGTACTTGAGATAGTAAGCGTACTGCTCCCAAAAGTCGCTCCATAAAATTAGGTTTTCCAACATCATATTTTCTCCTCTTCAAACTACGCATAGCAAACAAAATGAATGAACTCCTAGATATAGTATCTAGTGAATATGTGTCAATATGTTATTATAGCAAAAGACATGATTAGTGTTTGAGTACGAGATTGATTATCTGGCGAGCTAATATATCACAACTAATTCTTGCAAAACCACCTTCTCCACCGGCAACAAATGCATTGGACAAACATTCTATCCTACAAATCCATGGCTATACTCTTAATCAATCAATTTGATGTTAAGCTCCCTAAGCTACTGAAAATTTATATCAAACAAAGAAAATGAACACATTACTTTATTTACACTATTCTCCCTCGGAAGCCAAAGGTAGTACTTAAATACATGCAGAAAACTCTTTTATTAAACCATTATTTGTCGTTGATCTAGTTTAGAAATAGCAAATGTAAATACGTCACTAAATGTTCGAGTGAGTACCTTTCCAAAAAATGCACCTTTTGTTTAGGTCTCTTTCCAGTGATAACTTGAAAGCAGGAACTTAGTAATTCCTCCAAATTAGCAGATTGCAACAGTCTCAAGTCCCTCCTCACCTAATTTCATAAACACTTAATTTACATAAGTGAAAAAAATGTTGGTTACAAACATAATGCACTAAAAAGAAAACCAAAACTTCGACTGTTAAACTGGTGCAATAATCAACTGCTAGTAAACATGGGATGTCTTAAGTCTACTTCTTAAACTAAAACAACAAACAGAAAATTTCAAAAAATTTTTTTCTAAATTCCTTTAATTTTCTCCTCTCAGCTTTCCCAGCAACCAAACAGCTAGTTTCTCAAACTGGGCATTTTCCCTTTCTAATAAACAACATCATGTACCACCCAAAACTCCTACAAATTTATCTTTCTCCTCTTTCACTATCGATTTTCTCATCCTCCAAACAAAACCCAGAATCTAGTAAAAAAAAACATAAACTAAGAAGAAATCAAATTAACCTTAAGAAGACGCTGGAAATAAGAGGATCTCCTATGCTGGTTTTTGTTCTTGTAAACAATTCTTTCCAAAATGCCACGCTCTGCTTCAAGCTGACCCAAAAGAGTCTTCAATTTTTCTTCTTTCATTGAATCAATTTCAGAATCCATTTCTTCCGTCTTGATTTCCTTTCCTTTTTGTAGATTAATTAACTAAAATTTGATAAAGATACAAACTTTATGCAGGGTTTGTGGTTTTTTTTTTTGAAGGGTTTTGGAAAAATCTAAACTTTGAGACATATAAGGATTGGGTTTGGGCCAAAAAGTTTGAAAGATTCCTACTTGGATCTTGACCCTTTCTTTCCTTTTCAACCCAATGAATCTTTTCATTGGGCCAGCTGACACAATGAACTTGGGCTCCTACAAATGTACTTAATGTTCAAAAATTTATCTTGTAAAATAAACTTATTTCTTGAATTTATCAAAATCCAAAATCCACAGAGTTAAATTTTGATTTGAATGTCGAGGTATAAATTGTCATAAGAAAATTCATCTATAAAAGAGAGAAAAATAATATCGTAATCAGTTATTATTTATAAGATACCAAAGTTTTTACGATTTATGAGATTTCTAGAATTAAAAGAGCGATTGTTAATAATAATAAAAAACAACCGATTCCGAAAAGATTGAAACCTTTTTTTATATATAATTTGAGAGATGAGAAATTGAAATTTGGGTGTTTTTTTATAGATTAATGGTTAAAAATTTAATTATTAAGAGAATATGAATTTGCCTATTGAGGATTTGATGAGAAGTTGGAAATTTTCATGAGTTCATTATGAGTTTATTGAAAGAGAAGTAGACAAAAAGAAAAGGAAAAAGGGAAAAAATATCTTTTTAATGATTCCAAAGCAAAACTAAGTAAAGAAACCCCCAAAAATTCTATACATAAATTATTATCAATTGCATAAAGTGGGGTGCAAACAAAATCTTTGCTACTCATTTCTATAGTTCCCCCATAGAGCAAAATAGCCTTTCAATGGGGGTGTCGGTGACAACTTCTTTGCTTATTTATTATTAATTAAAAAAATTAAATAAAAAATAATTAGTTATTTACTTATTTATTTAACTATAAATAAAAAATATTACGAACACGTAATATATGTTTTAAAAATTTAAAATGTAGTGTCAAATCAATTTTGTTGACGGGTCAATGAGATTTTTTAAATTATTTGTCAATCTTAAAGTATAATTTTAGTAAAGCTTCATAAATATTCATTTTAAGTAGTTGTCATGAATTAAATATCGTTTTATCATTAGTTAATACGAAATTAAGTATTGCTTGCCTTAATTATATTACAACTTTATTTATTTATTTTACTAGACCTTTTTTTCCAAGGCACAAATGTTGGATTAACATGCACTGTTTCTTTGGCCATAAATGGATGGGGTGTTGTCTCGGGGTTGTCACTGTCAAAGCACTAACCACCCCTTTGAAAACAACACAACCTTTTTTGTTTGCTTTTTCTCTTCATTTGCCTTGTCTTCTCTTCATTGGCTTTGGATTTATATATCCCACTTAACTCTGATTTGGATTATAAACATTGGAAAATACCAATAGGTTTAGATGCCATTTGGTTCCAACCCTTTTTGTTCATTGTTGCTTAAGATGCATTTATATGTTAAAAGTCTTAAAATGAATCATTTACGTGATGATATTTTTCAGCGTAGTTAATGAATCGAAAAACACAATCTAATTAATAGATGCATCTCAATATTTTTTAAAGATGAAATATCGATTTTGAATCTTATCCCGTCAGTAATATGTTTATATACATGTAAAAATATGAGATAATAAACAATTATTTTAATGTAAAGAATATCGATTAGGTCAAATGGTGTTCTTTTGCAACTTTGCTAAGGTTACTTATACAACTTGATCTTGACATGTTAAGAGCAAAGGTACCTTCCCTTGGAGATGAACCATATCCACTCTTCAAAGCTTTTCCTCGAAGTCGTGAGCTTTTAATTCTCTTTCCATGTGGCAACACGTTGAGATATTATAATTACTCGATTTTCTTAATCGAATCTTAGATTAAAAAAATGTTAGCAACATCATCATATAGAATGATAAAATTTAAGCTTAGATTAGATTCTTTATTTTTTTTTCATTTTATTTGTTTAATAATTGCAAGTTTGGTATTAACTTTTCATGTCCTACCCAACTCCATTAATAAACTTTTTTGTAGTTAGTTTATCTAAGTTTGTTAGGTGGCTCTGGTCTAAGTGCCCACTTTGGTCCCTTCCTCTCTAAGGGCATTTTGCTTCACCAAAATCCCCACCAAATGCATACTATTTAATTAATTTTTTTTCCAATGTTTGTCTTCCATTGTTTTCCTTAGCAATTTTTAATATTTTTGGAACATTATATCTTAGATTAATGTTGATGTTGTGAGTGCTAGCTTCACACAATATTTCACAAACTTGACAATGGGGTTATATATATATATATATATATATATATCTTGTTATGAGGTTTAATTATGAGGTCAGAGGAAGCTCAAAATACCCAATTATTTTTCTTTTATGAAACAAATTAAATAATTTGAGTATTTAATTGTATTTATTAGCATACTTTATGTGTTAAAAAAGTATTTCTTTATAAGGTATTATTAGTATAGTTAGTAGTTATATAGATTCAAACTTTGATCTTAAAACTTGAAATATGTAGAATTAGAATTCTTTCGATTGCAATTAGTTGCGTTTAAAAGAAGTGGTATATACGTGATTGTTTCTAAATTTAATTTCATATAATTAAGATATTTAATACGAATATCGACAAATTTATCAAGATTCTTAAAATGACAAAAAGTGTAAATTAATTATATTGAAATGGACATAAACATACCACATTATGCCAATTTCAATATCAATATGACCATGGACATATATATATATATATACATAAATCTTATGAATCATACAACATTATACTTTTATAATATATAATAATATGTAGTATTTTACTAGGTAACTCTCTTCTTTCTATGTGCTTACCAAAGTTTTTTGAACCCCTAAAACCCAAACACTACTTTTGATACACATAGAAAGATTCAAATGCATAATCGTACAAATGAGAAGCATAATTAACTTCTCAATAAACCTTTAGCTCTTGTCATCAACTACATAGAGAGAGTCAAAAAAAAAAAAGAGCAAAAAAATGAAAAAAAATTAAAAAAATGCAATTAAGGGCATAAATGGAAATAAATTCATCAAATGATACCACCAATAGTGGGCACATATAATAATAACATCTACCTTAACGGACGAGAAAATTATGTATATAGGTAGATCAACCAATGCCAACAACCCTAAGTTATCAAAAGCTATTTTTTGTTTTTCTTTTTTACAAATGATATTTGCTTATATTTTACTTATATAGTATGGTATAATATAAAGTACATAATTCATCTAAAAAATAATTAAAAATAGGGGGAAAAGGTGGGGTTTTATAGGTCATTGTGTTGGTGTTTGCAGCCTTTTGCTTTCCAAAAAGGGTTTATTGGATCAGTTGATCTAGATCTACCAATCAAAGGACAAAAATTTTTATGGTTAATTTTATAATGATTCATGCCATGATCAATTAATTTTATTTTTTTTATCTGTTTAACCTGCCAACAACTTCATCTATTATGTTCTTCTTTGATCTTACAAGCCATAGATAAATATACAAATGGGTTGTTTTAATTGGTTGTTTTGTCTTCATATATCCTCTATTTTGTCCTTCATATTTGTCACTTCTAAAGAAAAAAAAACCATCGTTACCCAACTTTTTTAAAATTAAATTCATGTTTAATTTTCATAATTATGATTGATTAAATGTAAAATTTGAAACCCACTTTTTATTTTTTGTCATTTTCTTAATTGGTAAAAATATTTCACCTTTTTTGAAAGTGTAAATGATTTAACTTTCCACAAACACTTAACTTGTCCACCACATTTTATTTTTTGACATTTACTAATTTCCAAAGCATAAGAAAATAATTATATAAAAAAATTAAATTCATCAATTTTGAGAATATTTGAGTTTCACAGTCCCAAAAAAAAATACTTTAATTCTTCTTTATATAATAATAAAAACAAAATATTATTTTTTTAATTATCTTAAAAATAATAAATAATAAAAAAACACCTCACAAGATGCTTGTGCTTTGTGTATGTAGACCAAGATTTATCCCTTCAAAAAATAAAATAAAAAATAAATTTTTAATGAAATGACAAAAATACCCTTCACAGTATTTATGTCAGTCTTTGCATACCAAAATTGACTCAAATGCCCATAGTACATAGACCCCAGTAAAGCCGGCATTTTGGACTATTTGGGTATATTTATGAAAATACCGGTCAACTGTCATCCGCTCTTACATTACATGACATTAGCTTTCCTTTGTTTTTGGGTTAGTTAAAAGACCAAAACGTAAGCTGAAGGGGGAGAGAAACAAACAACATAGAACACAAAGTACTATGTAAGAGCAACAACCAATCTCCCATTCCCATGACCGAAATCATTCATGAAGCCACCGGAAAGATGACACAACTCTGTAGGAAGATTGTTCATGTTAACATCAAGTGGAGTATATTTGAAAGGGTATCGATTTTTCGAAGATTTTTCAGGTTCATTTGGGACAGAATCCTTGTTTGTTCCATAGGAAGGCCTGTTCACTACAGGCGGCTGACTCGCCGGGATTCTCCTCCGGTTGAAGGGGTTGTGATAGACAACGAGGCCTTGCCGGAAGACCCCCGGACGATGTGTAATGAGTATGAGACGGATTCGGATTTGGTTAGTTTGAAGATCAGTTTGTTAGGTGACTGCCAAATTGGAAAAACAAGCTTTCTGGTAAGCATCTGGTTTTGGTTCTTTTTTTCTTTCTTTTCTTGTCCCTTCTTAACTTAATGATATTTCACTTAGAAATAAGCAGCTTTTAAGGGTATTGAATCTCTTCTTTTCCCCTCTCTTCCTCTCTCTTTCCGAAGATCAAATATGCTGGGGATGAACAGGAAAGATGCTTAGAAATGGCAGGATTGAATTTAGTGAACAAAACATTGTTTGTTCAAGGTGCCAGGATTGCTTTCAGCATATGGGATGTAGGCGGTATGTGAATCCAGGAATTGGTTTTGGTTATGATTTACCTTGTTCTGAACTTTCCAGCTTTGCTGTTCTCATTCTTTTTTCTCCTACTGGTTATCTGATTGCAGGTGACAGTAGCTCACTTGATCATCTTCCAATTGCTTGTAAAGATGCAGTAGCAATTTTGTTTATGTTTGATCTCACCAGCCGTTGCACCCTTAACAGGTTAGTTCAAAACCTGTCTTTCCCAATTGGCACAAGTAATGAAAATTGATAGTTTTCTGATATTTTCAAGTTTCTTTTTCTGGGGTTTTGGCAGTGTTGTTGGATGGTATACTCAAGCAAGAAAGTGGAATCAGGTACTAAACATTCTTGCCCTTGTTTTCCTGATAGAAATTCATGGTGTTTTTCTGTCAAATGGGTAGTCAACATTAACTGGTCTGGCCAAGCTAAGAAAAGGGGTAGCGGGTGGGGGGAGATCTTGAAACTGCAAAATTGATTGATGAATAATTAATTGCAATTTGTATAGCCAATAATTGATTGCTAACGCATCAATAATTGACATTTAAGGAAAGACCTGTGTGCTCATCTGAATGAATATGTGGGGAATGGCTGAATTAAAATTTTAATGAGGAAATCATTAGGTTGATGTCAAATTCAGGCTTTTCTGGCAAACAATAAAGAGGATTGATGTCAAAGTTCAGTACTACTAGCTAGGCCCATGAAATATTAGTGCTCCAATTAATGGATGGTCTGTATCAGTAAAGGATTCTATGGAGTGGAGCCCTATAAAATTCATGATGCTTTTGTCTGTTCTTCATATCAGTTTCCCAGCCTTTTTTTTTCAAATGTTTTTACTTAATCTGCTTTTTCTTCTTGTTTCTTTCAATGTTTTTGCAGACAGCAATTCCAATACTGATAGGGACCAAATTTGATGATTTTGTTAGACTCCCCCCAGATTTGCAATGGACCATTGTCACTCAGGTATAGAAACTTAATTATGTCTGTTTCTTTTTGCTAATTAAATTACTTGAGTCTTTCTTTGCTTCTGTCAGTGCCCCTCCCAAGTTTCCATTGTCATGTGTTGCTCTCACAGGTAAGAAAGACTCACCAATATGGACCCAAAAATGGAACCATGTTAATGTCATGTTAAAGTATTCGCGTTCGACACATATTCGATACCCTAAATCACATAAATATACTCGTACTAAACACATACCCGTATCCGATACTTATGCTCAAGTTGAAAAAACATATACCCTGAAATACCCAAGTCATTAATGTGTCCTATACCTTTTAACATCATGCATTGAATTTTTTCCCTAACAATGACACATTTGAATAAAAGGGTTTGTAGAGAGGGATGACTGAGGAGTAAGGAGGGGGGGACTTGGGAGTCTTCCTTTGTCAATTCTCAGCCCTTTGACAATTTGTTACAAACCCTTTCAGATTCTCTCTCCGCGTATTAAAAGATTGAAAAAAAGAAGGGGCCACATGCTGATTAAAGCAGCAATGTGAATTTAATTGCTTTAGACGAAGAAAACTTTTTTTTAGCAGTACCAAACGTTGAATTCTGTGTTTTTTGCTGATACAGGCAAGAGCATATGCCAGGGCAATGAAGGCAACCCTTTTCTTCTCAAGTGCTACACACAACATCAATGTGAACAAGATCTTCAAGTTCATCATGGCTAAGCTGTTTAACTTGCCGTGGACGGTAGAGAGAAACTTGACCATTGGAGAGCCAATCATCGACTTCTAAAACCCTTTCCTTTTTTCTTCTACTGATTTTTATGTACATAGCCCAAAGAGAAAGATAAGGAAAAAGAAAGAAAGAGAGGATCAGTTTCTTCAATTCTATAGTAGCAACCTGACCCCACAACCACCGAACACCAAACTTTGGTCATTGATTGTTTGGTTCTTTTCTTTTCATCTGCTTTACTTTTTCCTAGTTTTCCTTGTAACACTTTACACTGAATTCAAAGATAGCTGATGAATCTGATATTTCAGGTAACATATCTTTGTGTAAAATACTTGTAACACACTGAGTCTTTTGATGCAGAAGAAAAGAAAAAATGAGAACTATATACTAAGATGACTCTCCTTCCTCTCTCTTTCCCCTTCTTTTCCATTCTCTCATGGCTTCCCCACATAAAATATAGGAGAATCTGCTTTTTATCTTTGTAGACTAGTACAGATACTTTAGAGTTCTTTATGTTGCTGAACAGTGGAGTTGGGAATGATTCTTGTTGCTGAACAGTGGAGTTGGGAATCATTCCACTTGGTTTCTAAGCAACTTAAAGAATATGAAAATGGGATTAAATAATATACTTGGGTACAAATTTCATTCTGTTATAGCAATAAAATATTTGGTCAAACACAAGCACCAAACCTACCCAAGAAAATATTAGCTACCCTAAAATACTTTTCATTTTATTATATTATTAACAAAAGTTTAATAACTCTTAAAGAATAAAGACATGTTGTTTGTTAATTTTGTTAAAATTTTTTTTTTCAGATTTTTATGTCTTTGAATATTTCAAGTTGTTATTTGGTTAATTATGTTGTTTTATTACTGTTTCAATATCAGATTTTTAACGATATTATCCAAAAATAAAAAAAAAGTTTAATAGAAAAAAAATCTCAAAAAGCACCCTTGGAAATTCAAATCAATCAATAACGAGGAGAGGAAAGGGCTGCTATAATAACTTATAGCATAATTTTCATACAATTATTCATTTAGATGGATATGGATAAATTTACATCGAGTATCATTATTTTTTATAATCGAAAATAATATATTAAAATTTACCTTTGCATACATTTTCTCATATGCAAAAGAAATGTATATTATAAGTATAATTTAAATTAAATAATCATTATCTTTTTTAAAATTTTCAAACTATGCACTCTTGAAAAAGAGGGAAGAGGGCTGCTACAGTAGCTTTAAAGATATTTTTCATTCAATTATTCATTTATGTGCAATGTTATGATCAAATTTATATCTCTTTGAATTAAGAGAAGTGTCATTATCTTTATAATCGGAAACAATATGTTATAGTTTACCTTCACACACTCGTTGTCAACGTAAAAGAGATGCACGTTATAAACGATTATAATGGTGACTGTATTATAAACGAAGTATAGGCGCTGGCTACTTTCAAGAGAGAAAAATGGTGAGTGCAAAGCATAGTATGCACCAGTGTAAACTGGATTAAACCCAACCATCTAGTTCTACAAGAAACCTCTTCAATCTCAAATGAGGAAAAATGAATACTACGATAACATTCCTTGTATTTTGTAATAAACAAGTTGATAACAAAAATAGTCCCATTTCCAGAGCTTGCTGAACACACGGATTCATATGGCAGTGGTGGCCTGTCAGTACTTCTCACTGGGAAGAATTCTCGTGAAGCAGAACATACTCTCGGCTGCAGAAACCAGAACAAACGATTTAAAAGCTATGGATAGCAATGCACAAGAATGGTCCATTTTAAGTATAATAATTTCCCTACTAGGCCAGGGAATGAAGTGCTTGGCCAGTATTCACAGTACCAAATCAAGATGACAACCAAATTATTTCACCACAGAACCAAAAAGATTTGAACTAATTTCTCCGGTAAATTGGAGGGGATCATCCGGCACAGGCTTTATTATCAACAGAGCAGTGGCTAAAGCAACAATAATGAATCATTTACTTCCTCACTATGCACCAAAAACAGCATCATGATGATGAGAACAATAATAGCAGCAGCAAAGGGCTGTGTGACACCCAGTGACAGACCAAAACAGGAAAGCCTTTATCAATTGATCCCATAGTAGCTTGCTAGAGCTGTCACTACACTCTCCAAAGCATGTATGCATGCATAATCATACACACATAATCTCTTACATTTTGCCTAAATTAATTTCAATCCCTATTATGCAACTAAAAAGCACATGCAGGCTATTGATTCGTGCCCTACCTACTATTACCAAATTTAATGGTGTCTTTCTCAAAAAGTTCATAATAACGTTGAGGTTCAATAGGATTGTCCTGCAAATGCAACAGAAAATGTTAGATGAAGTTATTGGAATCCCAATCAACTTTCAGCTCAATTAAAAAGAGGTTGTGAAATGAATTGCTTACGTTAATAAAAGTTTTGTTAGTGCTTCCAAGGTCCATTATATAAGGCCTACCAAGGCAAAAGCAACATAGAATAAGATAAAGATTCACAGGATTGCTCTTAGTCAACAGTAGTAATTGCAAATCAACTTAGCCATACCTTACTTGCTTGGATAATGTACCATCAGGTTGCTCTTTCTCTACTTGCCTGATAAAGCAGAAACATCTAGTTAATCAATGTCCCCAACATAAAGAAGAGAAAGGAACTGCTAAGTATATATCTACCGGAATTGAATGACAGCATGTTGCTTGCTGCAGGATGGATGGTCGGTAGGAATGTCTGCTACACGTCTTTCTCTCCCAAAAAGGTAACAGCTTTGGCGATGTATATAAAGGGGCTCTGCCAACATGATGAATGTAGAAACAGAACCATAAATCAGGTGAATAAGTTACATGCTTTGTTCAACAGTCATTCACTTCTTTAACCGACATGTATTGCCAACATAATGAGAACAACAAGCTCTAATCCATAGATCTCAATGGAATAGCAATGGTTAACTATAAATTGTAGCTTCCTTAGAATTTAAAAGTTTTTCTCATCTTCTACGAGTATATGTGATCTCAAATATGATAGAATCTAAAACTAAAGGGTGCAGCCTTGCAGTGCACCTCGTTTCCATCATATAGGCGGAGTTGAATTAACAATGATACTCATACTAATTTTGTATCAATGCCATATAGCTCTGATGATTATTGGACATATGAGCTAAGGACAAAACTGCAACCAAGCATGCACATTTTTCAATGGTGAAAGCATGAAAAACATTTAGTTGATAAAGAAAGGGCAAACTGTGGAATCATAAATTCATAGGAAGAGAACACATGACATGGAAAGGAAGCTATTTTGGACTAACCATTTAATACTTCACCAGCTTTGAAAACATAAAGTCGCCATCTTATATCAGGTTTTCGAGCATCAGGGGGTTCATTGAACAGCAAAGTCACACCTCTAACTCTATTGGTTTCTGCTGCAAGCTTTCCGGATAACTCAAATGTTGGTTGTTGCTGCAAGTTACAATGACAGTGAAGAAAAGATCAATTAAATACAAGGCAGAAAATTCATCTAACCAAAAAAGAAAAATTGATGGTGAAGCCATGCAGTAATTCTCAGAGTATAGAACAACAGAACCAGAGTTTTCTCATAAATCTGCTCTGAGGATACCAAGAATAATTTGGCACAAAAATTTTGAAACATGACAAATGAAAATAAAGCTAGCAACCGAGTTAATGATACCTTTTGTTTTGCTTCCAAGGCCTCCTCAGCTGCCTTCATCTTAGAGACAGAATCATATTCATCATCCCTACTTCGAAAAACAAAACCTCTTGTTAGACACGACGTTAAAGCTTAAAGGAGTGAAGTATATCCAGAATAATAAAATAACATACAAAAGCAAGTAAATTCAACAACATAATTTTCTCAAAAAAGCATATCTGGAGCATTAAAGTAAATCATGTGGCAACTTTTATCGCACAAAAAACACAGGAACTGAGAAAGAAGTTATTCAATGAAGATGATGCCCTCTATATTCTATATGTTGAGAAGTAATTGATTGAATATAACCTTATAAAGAAAGCCTAGGGTAGAAAGTGCATTAGCTCACTTTCAAGTGGTTGAGGATTTACTTGGTTAAATTAATAAATCCAAATAGCTTAAGTGAGCAGTCGCACAGGCTTATTCTAAAGTTTCCCTTCACACCCCTCCCATGCAATGGATGGGGATTAAAACAAATACATGATTAGGCCCTCATATAACAGCTTAACTTTTAGGTTGGGTGGTTTTTTGACGTCAACCCACCCTCCAACAAAAATAATAATAAGAATAAGAGAGGAAACATGCCTGCATGATTAAGTCACACACATGACAGAAATCACTCTTTGCTAATAAAAGAATTAGTATATGCATATAAGGTTAAAAGGAGAGGATTAAGCTTAAGAAGCAGCTCACCTTTGTTCAGCACCTCTTGAGTTATTCACCTGAAATGATAAAAATTTTTGTCAGACACTAGACATCATTCAAGATGAACAAAAACAGAAAATATTAGTCAAAGGTTTCAACTGAAAATGCATATCCTCATCTCTGCTTATTATGTTTGCATGCACAAGAATTTTCGAAAAGCAGATCTGCATACTCATATGAATGATAGAAACTAAAACAGAATAATGTTAATCAAGCAAGAAATAAAGTAGATATCACCAGACACCTCATCACGAGCTCTTGAATTGGATGCAGGTGAGCGAGATCTATGCCTGCTCCGATGGTGGCGATCAGATGGAGAAACAGACCGGTCATGTCTCCCTCTAGCAGATTTGCTATTAGTATCATCTCTCCCCGACTTTCTCTCCTTTCTGTCAACCCCCATTTCCCTCTCTGAATTCCTTTCCTGTCCTGAAGCTCTATCCTTATGTGTACTCTTCTCACTACCCCTGCTATGATTTCTCTCATACTCTCTCTCCTTCACTTTCTCAACCTCCTTTTCAGCCTGTGCTCTCCTTAACCTCTTTGTACGGGGAGATGGAGAGCAAGAAATGGGAGAGCGTGAACTAGCATGCTTTGGAGACTTAGTATGGCCAGAACGTTTCTCTCTTTCCAAAGAATTATCCCTGCGAGAACTCCTGCGCCGAGGAGACCTTTCTCTTACAGGGGAGCTTCCTCTGCGTGAAGTCTTATGTCTCACAGGTGATCTTTCTCTTTTAGATGGACTCTCCCTATGAGGAGACCCTCGCCTCCTAACAGGAGACTCTGAATGGTTGGATGACTGGCGTCCCATTCTGTTCCCAGTGCAAATTTGCCTACACGTTTTGGCTGAAACATGTAAGATAAATTCCACAAAAGAGCAAAATTATAACCATTGCTTCTATGTAAGATTAAGCCGGAAACTTATATAAGGTCTCTCATGTCCTTTTCCGCAACCAAGTCAGCAATTTTAAACACTTGAATTATTTTCATTGGGGAACCTAAGGAAAAAAAAAGCATAAGGAACCATACTTAAGTCTTGAGTTAAGATTATAGAGAATCATTACCTAAGCACTAGAACACAATTTGAACAAAGTTTCAACCATATAAACGGGTAGCATAATCAAAGAACTTCAACAACATTCGAACATAAGCATACGACAACAATGAAGTTTCAGCTAACCTTGAGAATTAGGCACAAACATCGTACTAAAACACTCAAAGCAAGGATTTTACTTGGTTCAAGTAATAATACTAATAACATAACAACACCAAAAGAAGCACTCGGTTTGGCAGCTGACACAAAGAACTTTCCAAGTCAGCAACAACGAAGCACCAATCAGGACAATTCAACTAACTAAAATAAGCAAAATCAAGAGAACCCAGAACGGGAAACCCCAAAATATATATGAAAAACGAGAGGTTACTAGAAAAGAATGAAATGAGAAGTGGTTTCCAGAACCAGAACAAAAAAAAAAAAAACCTGCTTCAACCCAAAGCTTAATTAAACAAAAAAGGAAAGAAAGATTAAGCTTTCAAAGGAAGAACAATGCAAAGGGGAAAACTTGATTACCAGGAAAATTGCTTCAAGTTAATCCCGTACTAGGATTCCAGAGACAAACAAAAAACCAAAGGGGTCGAAACTGCAGATTCTGATTTGATAAGGGTTCAGGGTAGAGGGCAAGAGAAAGCAAAAGGCAAAGCCCAATAAGTAATAAATGGTCCAATACTCAGCTTTAAAGCTATCAAATTACAGGCCTACTAAGCCCATTAGAAAGATTAAGGCCCATTAACTGCCCAGATTTTAATTATCTATTTTTCTTTTTTTATTTTTTATGAAAGAGAAAATATTTATCCTAATCTCCTTAATAAATAAAATATGGTCATAAAATTTAAAATTTAAATTACTAGTAGTAGTCTACTTAAAGAAATCATATTTATTATTAATTAATATTTATTAAAATTTTAATTTATTAATATAAACTAAAAATATTATGAAATATAACGAAAAACAACAATTACAAAAGGAAAGTATTAAGAAAGTAATATGATAAATTCTATAAATAAAAATATACATACATTGAATCAATTGAAAAGGCATGATATACATATAAAAATAAGTACATCGGATATGAAATGATTGAAAAAAATTAAAAAATCAAATTAACATTTCAACGTATATTTTGTGTTAGATTTAAATTACATTAGTATCTTTTACGGCAAAAAAAATTAATTTTTTGGAAAGTATTCTCATTATAATTGAAAATAAAAGAGAAAAAAATTAGTAGGCTCTCAAAATTCCCACTAAACCTTCCTAACTAAACGTTTCAATCCTGATCTCTTAAATGATAAACATGGAAAATGCAAAATAAAAATCCAATATTTCCTCTTTTTTTTTCATTTTTGGGTAAAAAAGCAAAATATAGAAAAAAGTTCTGCCTAGATTATTTTTTTCCCTTTCTAGAAATTCTTTGTTAAGACAATAATTTTGCCACGTCAGCTCTGACCAAACAGTTCCCCCATTGAACGTCGTGTCTTGTCGGCATCGCAACCCAATCGACGTCATTTACGATTTTTTTCCATAAATTAAAATTTTCCATTATAAATATAATCTTATTGAATATAAATAGTATATCAATATATGTGGTACCCTCAGAAAGAAAATCCCTAAGAAGTTCAAAATTCGCTTAAATGGCCGCCTCCGCCACAAGCACGGCCACTTGCCGCCTCTCTAATCCACTTTCCTCTTCCTCCTCCTCCTCGAGATTGCCAGTCAAGTTTAACAAGTTTACAGCTCTGCCGACTCCTGCGAAAGCATTTTCCATTTCCTGTACGTTAACTAGGGATCCAGTCCCTGCTGCTCCGGTGTCCATGGACTCAGACCTGGCAGGATGGCAACGACCCGACTCTTTCGGTCGGTTCGGGAAATTTGGCGGGAAATATGTTCCCGAGACACTAATGTCTGCTCTCTCGGAGTTGGAAACGGCTTTTAATTTACTCTCTAGAGATCAGACGTTTCAGGTTTGTTTCGTTATCTTTCCGCTGTGTATTTATACGTATCTCCATATTCATATGTACTTCTCAAATGAATGCGTATTTGGATATGTTTTGAGTTAGCATGTGTGTGTATATTTGTTAATTTTGAAAGGAAATGCGAATTTAATTTGGCATTTTCGAAAATGATTACGTTTATTTTTACAAGGAATTTGGTTATTGATTAAAAGAAGCGACTTTGTTGACTTTTTGTTGATCATGAAGGTAGAATGTGGAAATGACTTTTTGTTGATTTTGATAGTTACTTTTGCTAATTACTTTTATTTTCATGAGTAAAAGGACAAAAAATGTCATTTTTGTTATAAAATTCCAATTTTGTTTGAAGAATTTATTGAAGAGAGATTCTAAAGAATTTGAGCACTGAAATGATATTAATAAAAAGGAGCTCTTTTGCAAGAAAATTTCTTTCTTGGTACTGGAAGTAGTAATTTTGAGGAAATATATCTATGGTTTGCAGGAAGAACTCGCTGGGATTTTGAAAGACTATGTAGGTAGGGAAAGTCCACTTTATTTTGCGCAGAGGCTGTCGGAGCATTACAAGGGGCCTAATGGTGAAGGGCCAGATATATACCTTAAGAGGGAGGATCTTAACCACACTGGCGCTCACAAGATCAACAACGCTGTTGCTCAGGCATTGCTTGCTAAGCATTTGGGCAAGAAGCGGATTTTGCTGAAACTGGGGCTGGTCAGCATGGAGTTGCAACTGCTACCGTCTGTGCACGGTTTGGTTTGCAGTGTATTATTTATATGGGTGCTCAGGATATGGAAAGACAGGCACTTAATGTCTTCAGGATGCGGCTTCTTGGTGCGGAGGTAAATGTTTATCCAATGAGATGCAACTTGTTATACATTGTTATTCATGAAGATTCTTGTGCTACTCTTCACCTTATGATGTATATTATCTCTCTTTTGATTTACTGATTGCATCGTTTGATCTTATGCTCTATTTTTACCATATAGGTTAGAGCAGTTCATTCTGGTACTGCAACTCTGAAGGATGCTACATCAGAAGCTATCAGAGATTGGGTGACTAATGTGGAGATGACTCATTATATTTTGGGATCTGTTGCTGGGCCACATCCATATCCTATGATGGTCAGAGAGTTCCATGCAGTGATTGGTAAAGAAACAAGAAAACAAGCGCTAGAAAAATGGGGAGGGAAACCAGATGTGCTGGTTGCATGTGTTGGTGGAGGTTCAAATGCTATGGGAATTTTCCATGAGTTTGTTGATGACAAGGATGTTAGGCTGATTGGTGTAGAGGCTGCAGGTTTTGGTTTGAATAGCGGCAAGCATGCTGCTACTTTGACCAAGGGAGAAGTGGGAGTGTTGCATGGAGCTATGAGCTACTTATTACAGGATGAAGATGGACAAATAGTCGAACCTCATTCGATTAGTGCTGGGTAAATATTTCATTAATGAATTTGTTCAATTTTTGTTTTACTTTTATGTGGCTTGCTTTATTTTGCTTTGAATAACTTGGCAATTTTTTTATGTGGGCATACAGCTTGGATTATCCTGGGGTTGGACCTGAGCACAGTTTTCTCAAAGATACAGGGCGTGCTGAGTACTATAGTGTCACAGATGAAGAAGCATTGGAAGGTAGCATTCCAATTTCTTTTCAAGGCTTCAGTCCTATCATATCTGATTGTTTTTACTGTCTGTTGCTTATTCTTGCAAAAGAAAATAATTGTTCAAATTGGCATATCTATCACCATTCACCTGTTTTCTTATGCACTATATTCTTTACTGCATTTTCAACCTTAAAACTTGTCTGCCATTCCATATTAGAGAATTGCTTGTTGCTTTGTTCATGTACCTGAAAATTTGAAGCTTAATCTACGGGACCAAGTAATGTTTCATACTGAGTAGAAACAGATTCCTTAGCTTTTAGTTGTTGTTGGCCTAATTTTTACCGCGTTCTTTAATCATTCAATGTATCCTGAATCTCCACCTCTTTTTCTCAGCAGTTGATTTTCAGCGCAATGTCATGATCTGTTGGTTTGCCACTTTCTCTTTTGAAAAGTTTTGACTGATATCAGTACATGTAAACATTTTGAGTCATACTTTGCACACGTAAACATTTCCATCTCACCCATTTTTCCTGTAGATGCTGGATTGTTCCACCTTTTTGGTTCCTTTGATTTATGCCTGCTCAAAGATCTTATGAAAAATCGAAGAATGCATTCGATTGGTTTCCTTGCAGTCTATGTTATCTCCACATTTTAGTCAGCTTTATCATGGACTTGTGCTTTTCATTTTCTTTATTGCCATTTCTTACAAAATCATTTGACGTAACACAGCTTTCAAGAGATTATCTCGACTGGAGGGCATAATCCCAGCGTTGGAGACATCTCATGCGCTGGCTTATTTGGAGAAGCTGTGTCCAACTCTACCAGATGGTACCAAAGTTGTGGTTAACTGCAGTGGCAGAGGTGATAAGGATGTTCATACAGCGATTAAGCATTTGCAGGTGTAATTCTCCCAAGGTTTTCGTGCTGCCATTTGCCATTTTATTTCACCCGTTTACATGAAAATAAAATGGTTGCCCCATCATTTACCGGAATGCAGCTGTAGTCTTTCTCAGGGTTTTACATCTGTGTGAGGACAAAGTTAGACGATTGCTGTTTAGCTATCCTCTCCCTTTCAAGGTTTTCTTTTTTCTTCTTTTCTTGTTTTCATTGTTATATATTAGAAATTGTAGATGGGGGGGAGGGGAATCTGAGTTACATGCGCTACCTTATTAATAAAAAAATATGAAGGAAAATACATTTTTGTATTTAGAATTTAATGCTTTGAAGCTTTGAAGATCTTGTTTTCCTAGTTTCAGAGAGAGAAGCTGAGATTTATGAATGTCTTTGTTCATTGGTCTCATGCATTGTTTACATCATATTGCCCCATGAAAGGTACCCCAGAAAGAGAGAAAAATGAATGATGAAAAATCTATTACAAAGTGACTACCAAGGTCTTGAACTCAACGGTTGAAGCTGCACGCTTATGGGACCCCACACTACTTGCATGAAAATTGTAGTAATAATGTCTTCATGGATATGAACATTTTCAATTCAATTATGATAGAAGGAAAGAATAATGTTAGAATTATTGGAACTAATAAGACAAATAAGTTTATTTTTAGTTGAAAGTAAAGCCTTCTATTAAAAAACCATCGGACAAAGGAGTTCCATACGGATTCGATTTTTAAATCAAAATATATATGTGCATGTATTTATGTGTATATATATATATATATATATATATATATATCTTTATGATTAAGTTCAAGAATACATACCTTTACCGTTATGTTATGTGTTCAGTGAATTGAAGTTAAGTACTTTTCTTTAATTTGGATGGAGACTGTTTGAACTCTATTGAATCCAAAGATATTTAAGCTTATTATTAAGTTTGTGAATATATAACTTACCATTTAAGCCATGTGTTTAGTTAATTTGAAAATAAATACTAGTATATTTTTCTTATTTGGAAGAAAGAGGTCCAAGCCTGACTCTTAAATTGAAAGATACATACACGTATTTTTCTTTTTAATTTAAAGGAAGAGAATTTGAATTCGATTCTTGAATCATAAGATACATGTATTTATCATTAAGTTTAAGAATATATATATTTACCATTAAGTAATGTGTTTAGTTTATTAAGGATAAGTATTTTCTTATTTAGAAAAAGGTTGTTTGAAATCTTTAAAATGATATATACATTTATTATTAAATTCTTGAATATATAATCTACTATCTAAGCCATGTATTCAATTAATCGAGAATGGGTATTTACCTTTATTTGGAGGATAAAGATTTAAACCCGATTCTTAAGTTGGAGATACAAACGTTTATCATTTAATTCGAAAATATATACACTTTCCATAATCATGTAAATTCTCATAATTAGTAAATAACTTATCACGTATCATATGATGTTTAAATTGGTATAATAGGATAAAGATTTTTTTTTTTAATTTGAGATAAAAAGATTCGAGTTTTTTTAAATTAAGGGATACGTGCATGCATAATTGAGGATACTTACTTTCCTTTATTAGAGAAAACTGAGTTTAAACCCAACTCTTAAATCGATAAATAGGTGTTCTCATAATTAAGATCGTTAAGTTCGAGAATATATATACATCTATTGTTTAAGCCATGTATTCAGTTAATTATTGGGCTTGGTATGCCATGGATTCACAATTTTAATATGCTTGCATGAGAGAGAGAGAGAGAGGATTTAACAATCTTAGAGGGTAAGGATGGTTTCCAAGGATGCAAAAAGGAAGAAGATCTATCCCTTCAACTCCATGAAGAGACATGGTTAAAGAGTGATGGAGGGTTAAATGCAACAACTAGCTACTTGGCATTTTCCAATGCTTTCAAAATCTTTTCCAGGGCATGAAGAGACATGCTCACATGCTAATGGAGGGTTTAAATTAACCCTGCAAGTAGCTTTTCCAAATAATCTTTTCCAGGGCATGGAGAGACATGCTCAACATGATAATGGAGGGGTTAAATTAACCCTGCAAGTAGCTTTTCCAAATAATCTTTTCCAGGGCATGGAGAGACATGCTCACATGCTAATGGAGGGTTTATATTAACCCTGCAAGTAGCTTTTCCACATGCATTTCAGACCGCAGATTTTCAATGTACAGTACCACCATGGCCCAGGCATCTACACCTGACCCTACTCTCCACTCTTCTTTAAAATAGCACCGTAGATCTTAAACAAGAAAGTTAAACGAATAAACATTGTCCTCACTCTTCTTATTCATGTCTGCTAACATAATAGACAAGGGCTCACAACATTAATCCTTGTTTATTCAAGACAGTTTCCCTCTCAGCCGCTGCATTAAAATATAAAAACCTGACTAATCACTGTATGACATTGTTTATAAGCATCATCATCATTATTATTAATATCTACAATATGACAAGCTGCCGGTCTGTCTGACCAAAATCCAGCGATCTTCATCGATCCCAAAAGACAGTGAACAATAAACTTCTCTGAGCTAAATTCTTCCAGATACCGTTTTCTCTTTCATCATCTAGGTTTACATGATGAATCAAAATTCTTGAACCCCATGGTGTTCTCATGCTTTTGCCTGCAGAAAGCATGCATGTGATTAGGGATAAAAGAAATCAATCATTAAGAATTTAAGAACCGTGCTTAGAAGGAGAAACCAAGCATATTCTCAAATTATTTAGTGTGAAATACGGAATCTGCTGAAAGCATCTTTGACTAAGGCAGAGGGAATAATCATGCAAGGTCTTGTTAGATGCCAATGGTTAGGTAGAGAGTGGTCCAGATAGTTTCACCAGTACATTGAAACCACCTACCACCAAAATTATTAACTGTCATATTGGTAGCTAACATTGGCCCCAGTGTCAACATTTATGGATTATAATTCTCCACTAACTACAGCAACCCCTTGGAACCCTCACAACATTGGCAAGTCATTCAACTCTCTATGTAAGGAGGAATTCAACTATCACAGATTGAAAAGATTCACCTACCACCAAAATCTTGTTGGAGGCACTGAGTAGGTGTTAGAAGATGATCCAACAAACAGATCGTAGACAACAAACACCATATATTGAAGAGTTAGATAAATAGCACAGACCTGCCGTTAATAGAATCCTAGACCAAGGCAACCAACCTAGAAGACTACATAATTAGTAGCTAAATCAACACTCCTTTTGTGTGTGCATGTTTCGGTTTTTCCCCCTTAAAAATTGTCACTTGCTAGAGCTCCAGAAGAATTTCAAATCTTACATGCAGTATTGCTAATTATGATATGCTATAGACCTTATCACTATGGAAAGAATACTCTGAAAGCAAACAAAAAAGTTACATGTGAACAATCCAGACAAACAATTTCTGTCCACATACGTAGTCAGCTAATTTGCATCAGTAACAGTCCTACAGGCTAACATTCAGAACATAAATATGTTGTAAAATTAATAACAAGAGTGCAATATCATGATCACTCACCTGGGAATACAAGAAGGTTCCAAGAATAGCGATCGCAGCTCCAAGAGCATTGATGGGCTGGACAGGTGTGTGGAAGATGATGATGGAGGAGACTATAACAGATATACGTTTCATTGTGTTGCCAACGCTAAATGTCAAGGGAGATATCTCATCAAGAGACATGTACGACACCTGATTGTAGAGATGATAGAAAATACTTTGGGCTGCCACCCACCTATCAAATCCAATAAAATCCACCAAAATTTTGTCAGTGTACGGGAAGAAGTAAAAATATCAAATATCATTACAATTAGATTTATGTCCATAAAGAGAATCTAATGATTCAAAATTCAACGAAGTAAAGGAACAATAGAGTTTTCAATTTTCAAGATGAACTTCAAAACCATTGTGATGTTAAGAAAAATACTAAAAGTAAAGGGAAAGCTAAATATAAGGAGCACCCAAAACCTTCAGGGTGATAAGATGACACTGGTACTGTCTAGCGTTCATGTTATAAGAGCCTAGCTGAATCTTTAATGTTACTACTAGTAATTACTAACAGTTCAGTTTCAAGTTATACGTCAGTCTAGAGGCATATTATATAATAATCAGATTAATGAATAAATCATCCAATAAATCAGCTCTTGAAAATGAACATTAAGTTCAAGACATAAACAGGTGGCAATAGAGTATAAAAGGCTTTTCAGAAAGCATTCCATCGTATAGTTCTGGTTCAGATTAGAAAAGCATACTTGACATCATGAATATCAATTCAGAGACGTGAACGCATCCAACATTTTCTTTCCCAGTTGAATAGGTGATAGAGCATCTAGTTATTCTTTTTATTATAATCTTAATCCGTGCAACAAATTCCAATATGTTTACGTAATGCCTTTAAAGCATTTACCAGACTCAAACAAATTAATCCAGACAACATCAAGTTTAAGGAAACAGAACAAGTTAGTAGTGTTATGTTCTTACCAGATGAACTGTGGTCCAATTTGAGATAAGGCCTTTTCCCATCCTACTGCCCACATCTGCGGTCCCTCTACAGCAATCGCAAAAGGTGTGAGAATTAAGAGAGACATCAAAGATAGACAAGCATAGTAGTTCATCCCGCTAACAGATTTCCCCTTCATGCCCTTCTTTGAGAATATGTTACGGAGGACAAATGCCAAGTTTGAAATCATAGCTCCCATAAAACCTGAAATACACAGTGAAGAACCAAGTTCAGCATTTCAACAATAACCCTCAGAAGCAAATTGATTATAGCCTCAACCCCAGTTAGGATCCTCAGCCGACATAAATTTCCAAAAACCAAACCCAGATGACCAACTGAGAACAAGGCCATAGTAACAAATACACACTTTGGAAATAATAAGTGAATTAAGGACCACTTATTGAACTTTCTTTAGTTTGGTTGTTAAGAAAACCAAGGTAAAACAAACAAAAAAATTTTATAGAAAAAAAGCATGCTCATTGAGCTCAGTTTCATATAATTGGACATTCACCTCATAAAAGCACACATTTAGAGAGGTGTTTTGTTTTCCAGAACTCCTGAAAATAAACAAAATATTAACTTAAGTAATCTCCATCTAAATCCTAAACCTACAATCTCACACCAACGAACACAAACAAAAAACCCAATTATAATGTACTGCACAAACAAAAGCTATAATAAGGATGGAAACATAGAAGTAACAATTCAACATCCATAACAGAGAGATTATTGTTTTTACCTGTCATATTGAAGTTGAGTTCAGTTACAGCGGCAAGAGCACAACCACCAATGATTGGAACAAGGGACAGGTAAACTGATGGAGGGAAGGTCTCTCCAAGCAAAAACCTTGAAACCAGGACACTGAAAGCAGGCTCACCAC